TCTGGACTGCTGGAGTTCCTATATCTTTGCCCAAAAATTACCTTTAAGATAACTTTCAGTTCAACCATTCTATCTTCTATGATCTTATTCATGGAATGTTGTAGGGGTGGAACCCCTGATCTATTTGAATAGCCTTAGTGGGCCTTGAAGCCAAGGTGATTTTGGTCTGGCATTGCAAGTTATTTTGTGGCTTCTCCCACTTAATGGATTACACAAAGGATGTGGTGATCTCAGTCTTCCCTGGGCTAGAGAGGGTGCTCTGTAGCTCTGGACTTGGGAGTTACCCATTGGGCTTAGACAGCCCTCCTCCTACCTTATTTGGCAAAAGAACATTCCATGAAAATCCTTTGAAGCCCCCTTGTATAAATAAAGCAAATGCAGGCTCTTCTCTCTCTCCTTCCAGTGTGGAAGCAGGACTCCTAAGGTTGGAAAGCCGTCCTATCCCCGCTTTCTAAAAATTACTTCTGTGTTGTGTGATGTTTTGCCATATTTCTCAGCCAGCACATCTCACGCAAGGGAAACCCAAAATTCATAGCCCACGCAAGACGTGGGCGAGAGTAATGATATGTGGATGCAGTAATTAAAAAGTCCACTAGGTTCATCCAAATTGCCATACTGACCCCATGCCATTAACTGCAAACATTTTAGTTCAAGACAAATTGAAGTAAATGGTAAAATGGTGATTTAATATGCTTTGGATTCTGAGCAAGAAAGAGATTAATTGTAACTAGAAGGGAAAGTTTGGGCAAGATATTTTGTAAATTAGAAATGAGATCTCCTCTTTGAATCCATAGTTGCTGGAACTCTACAGACACTTCATAAAGTCTGCTGAAATAATCAAATGTTCAGAGAGAACATTGGAGAGATGATACATTCTTGATGAGTTTTGAAGATTCAGAAGAAATTGGGATTTTACTGGTGATTCCTAGATGTAATTGTGTGCTTCTGACTCAGTTCTCTATCTAAAAACAGGAGCTCATTTACAAGCAACATTACAAGAAATCATGACCATGAAGCATTCCAGGTTTTCTGCGGAAGGAGGCTATAAAAAATATGAGATTGTGTTACTAAATAAAAATGAGTGCCATTGTGCAAAAGTAAAAAGCACATTTCATATTCTTCCTGAGCATTTCTTCCTAGTACATTCAAAACATTCTCACTTTCAGAAGGTTAAACAACACATTAAAAAATAGTAGGGGGTTAATGGCTAAGCTCAATGGGGAATTTTTTTCTCTGGAGTTAGAATATGTGCAAATTGCTTTGGTAAGAAGTTATTTTGGACTTCTGATGAAAAAAAATTAAGGCATCATTCCCTTTCCCTAAAAGTAATGGAAACATCCATGTATGCTTTACCAAATAAAATAGTTTACTAACTAATATTGTTTGAGGGGTGATAGTCAATTTGACTTATTTCTGGAAATAAAAAAAGATACATCTAAAACTGGAAAAGTATTTGGGGTGGGGGTTTGCCTGAGGTGCCCAGAAGACATCCAAAATGAAAGAACATGATATCTTAGCTTCTTTTTAAAAAAAGACTTGGAATATAATCAAAGAGGCCTCCTGGAATATGTGGAAACCATACTATCTCACTTATCAGTATTATTTCAGTTCTAAAATTACTAGGTGCATAGCAAGTAAAAATCAGGGAATGACATGGTACAGACCTCCATGAGCTGCAGGAAGACAACAGAACCTGTCCCCAGGAAAACAAAAACAATCTGGAAATTCTACACACTTCCAAGAGTTTCATAGATATTTCCCATCCCAAATCCCATTCATGGAATCCTTGGGTTAAAATCCTCCGTACTAGAGCAATTTCTTTTACAAAACTTGACTCAGTCTGTGGATCAATGAAGGTGCCAGGCAATTAGGAACACTGATACTCATAATCATACAAAGTCTTTGGATGTCATGGAATTTATAACCTAGGAGGGGAGATAGACATTTATCAAATAATCACATGCAAAATGCCTAACAACATCTGAGTGCCATGGTACATGCCTGTAATCCTAGCTACTCAGGAGACTGAGGCAGGAGGATTCCAAGTTTGAGGGCAACCTCTGCAACTTAGCAAGGCCCTAAATAATTCAATGAGACCTTGTCTCAAAGTAAAAAAATAATCAGGATTGGGGATATAGCTCAGTGATACAGCACACCTGGGTTCAATCCCCCAGTATCCCCAGTACACCAAACCAAACCAAATCAAACAACAATAAAAAGTACCCACAACAAAAGAAGCCAAACAAACTTTGATTAAGTGATATGGAGAAATTTAGTGTTGCACATACATAAACTAACCCAGTTCCTCTAAAGAACTGAAATTCTTGCAGACATCTAAGGGATGTTTTGTGGGGAAGGCAGAAGAAACACATTGTAGAAAAGTGCTAAGAAGTGCTATTAAGGAAATTAAGGAGCCACAAGAGTTCTCTTGAACTTGACATTTAAGCTAGGACCTTAAACTTGTTACATTTCATACTCTTTTAAGTCAGACATACTAAATTTAAAGTGGCTGATGAAAATTAAATCATTTCCATTCCTTGCCTACTAAACTGATAAAGATGTTTTAAATTTTTAGTACAAGTATAGAGAAAATGTTCCATATTGCTGTCAGAAGTATAAAGTTTAAACCACATTTTTTATTGGTACATCATATTTATACAGAATGATGAGCTTCATTGTAGCATATTTGCATATGCATAAAAAGTTAATCAATTTCACTCCTCAATATCTCCCTCACCATCTCTTCCCCTCTCCCCTCATCCCCTTAAACCACAAATTTTAAAAATGCATGTAGTGTGCATGCTTTTTGATTCAACAACTATACTTAGAGAAATTAATCTAAGAAAATAGTCAGGAATGATCTACCAGGATGTTAGTAACGGCATTATTTATAACATGGAGCAAACAGAAATAATGACAATGTCTAACAGCAGGAAGTTAATTAAATTATGACAATACATATTATAGAATATGTACTCAATAAAATTAGAGTATTTAATGATATGGAAAAATTCATATTAAGTGAGAAAAGCAAGTTACAAAACAGCATGCATAATAAGCCCTATTTTATTTTTATTTCTAAAATATATTTATGCTGAGAAATAAAAAAGGTACCTAAAAATGTTAACAATGCTGTCTTTGGATGGGGCAATTATTTTTCTATTTAGTCTCCAATTTTTAAAAATAATAGTGAATTACATTCATGATTGGGAAAGAATGTCATTAAAAAAATTTAAGTTGTTCAGTAAGAATTTTTCAGAAGGTATTATGGTCTTAAGAAGAAATCATTTTTTGCTATTGACCAACCAAAAAACAGAATTCTTCACAATTTGTAGTTTTATAAATATTTGGTGGATAAACAGAATGAAAAAAATGGCCTCAGACCACTATGGAGATCAGTATGGAGGCTCCTCAAAAGACTAGAAATGGACCCACCATATGATCTAGCTATACACTTGTGAGTATTTTACCCAAAAGTCAGCATACTATAGCAATACATGCATACTCATGTTTATACCAGCACAATTCATAACCCAGTTATAGAACCAAACTAGACATCAACAGATAAATGGATAAAGAAAATGTGTTATATGTACACAGTGGAGATTTACTCAACCATAAAGAAGGAAATTATGTCATTTGCAGGAGAATATAATGAGAACATCTGATAAGTGATCAGAAAAGTGATCTCCAAGTAAGATAAGCCAGACATGAAAGTCAAGGGTACTATGTTTTCTTTCATATGCAGAAACTAATGTATTCTCAAATCTCTACTAATTGCTTTCAGCAGTCACTCTTAGGATGAGATGTTCAAATTGAATCCTATGTGAGAGTGCCCTCTGGTGGTTCTAGCAATCCTGCTTTGTACGTTTGAGGTGGTGGTACTCCTCATCCATGGAAATGTGAGAACTGGATAGTTTTTCATGAAGCTGTTTATTCAGTGTGAAGGCTCATCCCACTATATGTAATTTTTAAGTGTCTGCTAAAACAAGTAAGTGGACAGTTCATAAAAATGTTATTGATGCCAGACACGATTGTATACACTTGAAATCCCAGGAATGTGGAAGACTGATGTAGGAAAATCAAAAGTGCAAGTTTGAGGCCAGCAGGGGCAACTTAGTGAGATTTTACCTCAAAATAAAAAAGCGCTGGGATGTAGCTCCATGGTAAAGTGCCCCTGGATTCAATTCCCAGTACCCCAGTGGCTGCTGGGGGTGAATGCAGATTTCTATTCCTGGGGTAGGGGATGGGAAGAACAGGGGAGGTGATGCTGGTGGTGGAATGTTTATTTGTTTAGCAAAACAAAAATCAGCAACCCATGAACATCAAATCCTATCAACTACAATGTTAATCTATATTTCCAGTACAATAAAATCAAAGTTAATTCTCCTTTTGACATATGAGTGTGTGGTCTGGGCATTTTGGAGTAGAAGAAAATTTTCATTTTATCTTATTTCAATCTTTTATTCTTTCTTCATTTATAACATCTCAACCTTTTTAAAATTTTGAGTATAAACCAACCTGGAAAAAAAAATGAACCATTTTGCAAAGATATATCAACACAGTCGGCAAATATTTTAGATTATCAAATTTCTATCAAACTTTTTAAATTTTTTTCCACAATAATTAATAGTTCATAAAAAAGTAGCTACTTAAAAACATTTCCTTTGAGTAATAGAGGGTAGCCATAATTAATTATTTCCTTTGATCTCTCCTACTCACCATTCTTCACATTTTACAGACCATTGGGACCTTCAACTAAATTTCCTTTACTAAAAGGATTTAACAATAGACTTTCAGAAATTATTTTTTCACATCAACTTTACAAATATCACAAATATTTTACAAATCTGAATAAAGCACTTTCCCTCCTGAAAATTCTTCACCTGCTCAACAGAAATGACAGGGGCAGCAAAGCTTCTCAAGGTTCTGTGTACATTGCTGTAACACTATAGTCTAGTGAAACATTTTAATCTCAAGAGCTGCAGCTGTTGTTTGCATGTGTTCTTGAAATTAGCTTTTTTTTTTTTTCCAGTATTTGGGATTGAACCCAAGGATATTTTACCTTTGAGACACAACCATAGCGTTTTTTTGTTTTTGTTATTTCACATTTTATTTAATTCTGTAGTGCTGGGGATCAAACCCAGGGCCTCATGCATGCTAGGCAAGCACTCTACCATGGAGCTGACTCCCCAGTCCAGCCCTTTCCATTTTGAAAAAGGATCTCACTAAATTACTCAGGCTGGCCTCAAACTTGTGATCCTCCTGCTCAGCCTTCTAAATCATTGGGTTGATTGCAGGTGTGCACCACCGTACCCAGTGCTGGTGTAATTTTTAAGACCGAAAAAGAAAAAAAAAAATCAAAACCAATTATATAACATTCTTTCTACAGAAATCTCTATGAAAGTACATTCTTGGGTGAAGGAGATCAACCCATTTGTCATTACAATGTACTGAAGGTTTTGGAGCCTGGCAGTTCAGATCCTGGCTCCCCAGTATGCTAGGTAGAGTTCAGGACTCTCAACCTTATCTATATAATGATGATGATGCTCCTTTCCAACCTCCCCACCCCCGCCTCGACTATTTTTAGTTGGCAATGGACATAAAACTTTTATTTTATTTATATTATTTTTATGTGGTGCTGAGGATAGAACCCAGTGCCTCATATGTGCACTCCACCACTGAGCTACAACCCAGCCTTGATGCTCCCTCTTAAGAGAATTATTGTGAGAATGTAATAAAATTTGCAAAGAGTCTAGCAGACAGTAAAAACTGATTAAAATATAACTAAGTTAATTATTTCCTAAAGCCAATGGAAACACTGCAACATCTATTTTCTGTATTGTCTTCGTAAGTTTATTCTCAAAGGCAATTTGAAAACAAGACGGAGGGAAGAGCGAGGACACGGGGAAGTACTGGTGAGCAAAATGTACCAAATTATGCTATGTCCGGGTACAAATATAACCGCAGTGACTACAGCTTTTCTATATAATTACAATGTACCAATTAAATTGGGTAGAGCAAGCAGATGGGGTAGGGAGAAAAAAGAAGGTACACTGAAATGAAAGTGATCAAATTATGTTATGTGTATGTACAAATACAGCATAATGATTCCCACTATTAGGTAAAACTAATGCACCAATGAAAATAAATTTGAAAAATTTCTTCAGAAGCAGCATGCATATTTTATTAACCATATTTACACTAATAATAAATGTTTTTTTTGCATGATGATGTAAAAATACTCATACTAGACACATAAAAATAAGTGGTAGCCTTTAATATCTCAAAAGGAAAATAAATGAAATCATTTCTCTAAATAAAAATGTAAAGTCCAGGATTAATAAATACATATTCTAATATATGAAAGGACATTTTATTATTATATTACTAAATAACATATTAGTGAATACACCAGATTGCATTTTCTCAAATGGCAAATGAGACACCAGATAACATTTTTCTTTGATTCTCCCAGGAGTCTCAATATCATCTGTCTTTTGGAGGATTCGGATTCTTACGACGTCTATGATACCTTGAAAAGAAGAATATATCTGAGATAAATTATTTTAGTAAAGGTTTATTACTTCTGATAGAAATCTCACATGTCTTTGATTATTTTGTTATTTTTATTAGAACTATTTGAAAAAAATCAATGAAACTTTATACATACATTTTTGGATACATCTCAGATATTTCTTAATAAACTACATTCTCCCAGTGTGAAAATTGCTTCCTATCAATTAAGCATTTTGGAAAATCTTCTTTCAGATCTTGAGGACATTTTCAAGGTAACCTTAATTAAAAACTAATAATAAAATTTGTCTTTATAGTAAAAAAACACTATATCATAAGCATGTTCTATTACAGTTTTATTTTAAAAACTGAACAGAAGCCACTTGATCTACAAAATTATATTTTAATATCATCAGGAACAGTTTACTTTTGTTTCTGGTCACAAATATGTTAAAAATTATAATGTCTAATCCAAGCATGAGTGTGGTGAAATCAGCCTTGGCTGATTCAAGTATTAATTGGTGCAATACTTTTGAAAAGCAGAATGGTAATATTCACAACCTTCATTTAGTACAGGTTGAACATCCCTTATCTCAAATACGTGAGAACAGAAATATTTCAAATTTTGGAATTTTTCTTTTTTGGAATAGTTTGATTTTAGAATAGCTGCATATACGTAATATCTTGGGGATAGGACCCAAGTCTAAACAAAAAAATTTGTTGGTTTCTTATACAGCTTACACATACATCCTGAAGATAATTTTGTATAATATTGTTAATGTGCCTGCATTTTTACTACAATCCTTAACATATGATGTGAAATTTTCCACATTAGTGCTTGAAAAGTTTCAGACTTTGGAGCATTTTGGATTTTGGATTAAGGAGGCTCAACCCACTATTCTGGAAATCTATCCTAAAGTAATAGAGAAAAATAATTAAAATATTAAGACAGGGATATATGATACAAATTCACATATGATTACAACCATGTAAAAATAAGCAACTAACCAAGCTTATGAATAGATCTAGAGAAATAAAATGCACTGTTAACAGTGATTATTTTTGAGTGATTTCACTGTGGAGAATTTTTCTTTTTGTTTCTTCATATTTCTTTATTTTCTTCACTGAGTTAAGAAAATACAGAGTACAGGCTCAGTGGTAGAGTACTTGCCTATTAGCATGTGTGAGGCACTGGGTTCAGTTCTCAGCACCACATAAAAATCAATGAATAAAACAAAGGTATTGTGTCCATCTATAACAAAGTAAATTTTAAAAAAGAAAATACAGAGCACAAATGTGATTGATTAGTTTTCTTCAAAACTTCCCGTATAGTAAGATTTTGGCAAGGTGGTCAGGAGTTAATTTTCTTTGCTTTTTTGCTAATGTGGAAATTCCATTTAAAAATTTTTATTCCACAAATGATAAGATATGTATCTCATGCTCTTCATAGTTTTGTTTGTGATCAAAATACCTAAGCATGTTTTGTTTATCTTAAAGTTTCATATATAAAACTTTCTGATTTTTCTGATATTGATTTTTTTTTTGCAGTGCTGGGTGATAATGATTTTTTGAAAATGTATAAAAGAATTAAGTTGAAAAGAATAAAATACACCTCTGCATGCTAACATGAAAAAGTAAGTTGCAGAAAATACCTAGAGCATAATAACCAGCATGAACAAATTTATTTCCAGATATTTTGATCACAACTTACTTAAACCAAAAGCAAGTTTTAAAAGGATATAACAAAGAGCAAAACAACAATAAAATGGAAAACAGAAAAACAGTAGACTTGATAAAACCAAAAAGATGATTCTTGGAAAAGATCAACAAAATTAATCATATCAAGAATGTGAGGGCTGGGGATGTGGCTCAAGTGGTAGCGCACTCGCCTGGCATGCGTGGGGCGCTGGGTTCGATCCTCAGCACCACATAAAATAAAGATGTTGTGTCCACAGAAAACTAACTAACTAACTAAATAAATATATATATTAAAAAAAAAAAAGAATGTGAGAGGTGGGGAGTAGAGGGAGGAGTGGGGATGTGGGGCTGTGAAGGGAGGTAGAATGAGACAGATATTATTACCCTATATACATGTATGATTACACTACTGGGGTGACTCCCCACCATGTACAGCCAGAGGAATGAGAAGTTATGCTCCACTTGTGTACAATGTGTCAAAATGCATTCTACTGTCATGTACATCTAATTAGAACAAATTTTAAAAATTAAAAAGAAAAAGAATGTGAGAAGCGACATCACTATAATTAAAATACTTAAAAGACAATAAGGAAATACAATGATCAACAATATGCAAACAATTTAGATGAAATGGGCAAATTCTTTGAAAAACACAAACTAACACAGTGCCCTCAAGAAGAAACTTTTGATAAACTAAACAGCCTTTACATATCAACTAAACTAACTAAATGTGTAATTAAAACTTCCCATAAAGAAAACTCCAGACCCAGATGGCTTGCTTCCCTGGTGAATTCCTTGGTTTTTTTTTTTTTTTTGGCCCTGGGGATTAAACCCAAGGCACTTACCACTGAGCTACAGGCCCCCAGTCTTTTTTTTTTTTTAAAGAAATATTTTTTAAAGAGAGAGAATTTTTTAATATTTATTTTTTAGTTTTCAGCGTACACAACATCTTTGTTGTTATGTGGTGCTGAGGATAGAACCCGGGCCTCACGCATGCCAGGCGAGCGCGCTACCGCTTGAGCCACATCCCCAGCTCCCCCAGTCTTTTTTTAATTCTTTAATTTTGAGACAATGTCTGAGTAAGTTGCTTAGGGTCTCACTAAATTGCTGAGGCTGGCCTTGAACCTGTGAGCCTCTTGCCTCAGCCTTCCGAATTGCTGAGATTACAAGTGTGTGTCACCTGTAATTTGGCTTCATTGGTGAATTCTAACAAACATTTAAGAAAGAAATAAGATCCAATTTTTACACATTCCTCTGGAAAAATGGAGAGGAAGGTATACTTCCATATCCATTTTCTGATGGAAGCATTACTGACACCAAAAACAGATAAAACTACAGGCCAGTATCCCTAATAAAGATGTAAACATTCTACACAAAATTTTAGCAAAATGAATTCAACAATAAATAAAAATAATAATAAATCATGACCAAACATCAATTACCCCATAAATAAAAAGTAAACTTACTATTTAAAATCATTTAATATAATTGACTATATTAAAAAGTAAGAAAAACCAAATGATCATCCTAATAAATGCAAAAAAAAGCATCCAAGAAAATTCAACACCCATTCATGATAAAGCAAATCAAAACAAAAATACTTCTCCATGCTAGGGACTCCCTAGAACTATGCTAGAAGGGACTTCCTGAACCTGACCAGGGCATCTACATAAAGACATATTACTGAACACTAGACTTGTTGATGTTAAAAGATTCAGTGCCTTCCTTCCCTAAAACTGGAGGAAAGACAATAATATTTGTTCTCAGCAGTTTACCCAACATTGTACTTAAGGTTCTAAGCAATAAGAAAAACAAAACAAGAAGCACTATAAAAAGAGAAGTAAAATTGCCTTTATTCATAGGTCCTATGATCATCTATTAAGAAATCCTAGCAGGGTGTGGCAGCACACGCCTGTAATCCCAGTGGCTCTCGAGGCTGAGGCAGGAGGATTGAGTTCAAAGCCAGCCTCAGGAAAAGAGAGGCATTAAGAAACTCAGTGAGACCCTATCTCTAAATAAAATACAAAATAGGGCTGGGGATGTGGCTCAGTGGATGAGTGCTCCTGAGTTCAATCCCCTGTATCCACCCCCCACAAAAAAAAAAAAGAAAGAAAAAAGTCCTATATATAAAGTCCTATATATGGGCACCATGATATGCCCCTATAGTACCAGACACTCAGTAGGTTGAGATGGCAGGTCTGGAATTTGTGGACAGCCTGACCAACACAGTGAGCCCTGTCTCAAAAAAATATGCCATTTTCAACAGGAAGACTGAATATTGATAAGACTGAATATTTTTTAGTTGTAGATGGGACACAATACCTTTATTTTACTTATTTATTTTTTTTAATGCAGTGCTGAGAATTGAACCCAGTGCCTCACACATGCCAGGCAAGCACTCTCCCACTAAGCCACAACCCCAGCCCCAAGACTGAATATTGATAAGACGTTAATTCTCCTGAAATTGATCTGCAGACTAAATTCAACACTCTTTAAAATCCTACCAAGCTTTTTATAAATTGATAAGCTGACTCTAAAATTCATAGGGAAATGCAAAAGACATAGGATGACTAAGAAAATTTGAAGAAATAACAATATAGAGGACTTTACCTGATTTTAAAACTTATTTACTGTAAAAATAGAGATTAATTGAACAAGATTACCAGTACCAACATATATGGTCAACTGACTTTCAACAAAGGAGTTGGACCAGTTTAATGGAAAGGGACATAATATTTTCAACTAATGATGCTAGAATAGCTGATATGCATATGTAAAAAAAGGTACCTCAACTAATGCCTCACACTGTATATAAAAATCAACCCAAATAAAACTTCTAGAAGAAATTCTTAGTGACCTTGGGTTAGGTAGAATTTAAGTGGAACATAAAACTCCTGAACTACAAAAGGAAAAATTTGTGAATTAAATATCATCAAAATTAAAAAATACTACTATCTTCAAAAGCTATTTAGGAAAGGAAAAGGCAAGCCACAGACAGAAAATATTTACAAAGCACACAGCTCACACAGTACTTCAATCCACAGGTCCTATATCTTAATAAGACAACTCATCTGTACAGACAATTCTCT